AAAGGAATTCACATCTTTATGGGCATGGTATGTTACTAAGGGCTTTATTTTTGTCCCATTTAATCTTTAGAGCAATTCTCTATACTAGATAACAATTATCTCCAGTTTACAGGTGAGGAACTTGAAGCTCCAAGCATCTGGTCTTCTCCCCAAATGACAAAGCTGACAGACAAGCTGCAGACTGACAAATTTATGTCACTAGCCAAGCGCACTTAATACAGCCCACTGTCCTGTATTAAGTGTAACTATCATCTCTTGCAGTAAGAGCATGTTATACTATTTTCAATTATTCCATGTACATCGGCCTATTTCCCCCATTTCACATGCTCCCCCATCTGACTAGAAAAAGATGAGTCAGAGACTATTATGCCATTTTACAGATGCGGTTGTTGGGCTAACATATTTGCCCAAGTGGTAGACCTCTCTGGGCAGCCTGAGACAGAGCAGGACACTGGATTCTGGGTTTTCTCTAACCTTCAAGTCTCTTCATGCAACTGTCCCTCCAGTGCCCATAACCAAGAAGACACGTGGCAAAGTGAGAGAAGTCAGCCCCAACTTAGCCCTTCTCAGAGAGATGATGAGGATATAACCATTCCCATCTGCCCTTGCTGATCCTTACCAGACACTCTCGTGCAAGGCCCTTGAGGATAGAGGGCTTGATCTCAACTGGCGCTGCTTCCCAGGAGCATGCTGTCTGGTAGAGTGAGGTAGCCAAGATAAATAAATATGTACCAAGGTTCTAGGGTAACATCAATAAATGGGTTCCAAGTCTTTGTTGAAAAGTCATCGGGAAACCCACAAGGCTTATGTGCAGAACTTCAAAGCAACTAGCATTTCAAACACTTAATTTGTACTAAAGTCTTGCATTATTCACAGGGCTCTTTTGCTAGAAATAGGTTTTGGATTTTTCTAGCTCATACATTCTTTTTTTTTTAAGTTTATTTTTACATCATTTTGTACATTTTTTTCATCTGAATTATAACCCCCGCAGGTTTCCCATCACTGAGTCACCCGTGTGCCATCACCATAGTCCCGTGCACTTCCCTCTCCCCACCCCCATTTTGGTCCCATTCTCCACTCCACCCCCACAAAATGTCTCTGGTATATGGCTGTTCATTATTCTTATTATTTTCTTGCCTGGTCCATGATACTCCTGCTATGTAGCTCATACATTCTTTGAAACCCTTGTTTCTTCTGTCTCCATCTCCTTGCCTTCTATTTCCATTTCTTTCTCCTAACATTACCTACAGGCTTACTCCAGATTTACAAAAAATCTCACACACTCCTTCCTGTAACGTGCACTCCTGGTAGTGCTGCGATTTCCAGACTCACTCTAGTCTGTGTTGTGCACCCATGACAGATTAAGGGTAGTAGCCCCAAATGGACTCAGAACTATTTCTTCTGAGAGTAAGGGAAGAATCATTCATCCAAGCCAGAGAAACCCCTTCCCCAGCCAGGCTAATCACTCCCTACTAGGAACTCCAAAGTTAAAGCTCCACGAAGTTCACCTTCACAGGAAGCTGTCCAAAACTGCCAGCGTGGCTTCAAGTCCACATAGCAAATGTTCCCTAAAGCCCCTAGAGGCTGTGTAAGCCCCCATCCATGCTCAGCTGTGTACCAAACAAATGGTAAGCTCAAAGTTACTAAAGGCAGCAGTCTAGCCAAAACCCAATCCATAAAATCCCTCTCCCTTTGAATAAAAGAGGAAACCTAAGATTGGATGGACAAAGTTTAGATTCCAAGCCATGCATGGTAAATGAGTCCCTCTGACTAAAGGGGACTAGCTAGATCAATGTTTAAGGAGACAACACTACCTACACCCATGTTCCAATCCCAAATTGTGTCGGCATATGTTAAACTACAAGACAATGAAGATGAGAGTGTTCTAGAACATCCAGTCTTAGGAAAAGACAAAAAAACAACCCCCATTTTAAAAACCAGTGTGTTTATCTCAAAAGACTAGACCCCATTATTCAGTCAAGGGGTAGCAAACCATAGGGAACTGATCCAATCCTACAGCAGAACTTGGGACCAAGAATTTCTCTAACTCAAGATTTCTCATTTGCACAGGAAGATAATATCTATCTTTTGGATTGCTGTGATAGTAGGTGAAATCAGATTAAGGACTTTAGCAAAGCATCTAGTGCACAGTGGGTCCCCAATAAATATTATTCTTTCCATTGTTCCTCCAGCAAATTCTTTGCTCAAGCCATCATGAGCCTTGAGACCTCAACCTCCCCATATTGTGGAGAAAGACTAGTTTTGAGAGGAAGGGATCTCTAATGGTTCTCAAAGCTGAGTCCTTCTGGCTATAAGCAGAGAAAATGGGCTTCAAGTTTCAGTTTTGGGAAAAGATTTTCTGCCTCTGAGTATAGGTGTCCCCAGACTGACATCTCCCCAGAATGGATTTGTGCTTCCTTGTGGGGTCAGCCTCTGCTGGTCTGTCCTTCTAGATGCACATATCTGATGCTCTTATCCTTTGCCTGAGGCTTAAAAAGGATAATGGGTACAGGTGAGTATACTCTCCCCTTGTATTACATTTACAAAGCTCTAAACGTGCCACAAATAAGAGGAAGCCTGGGCTAGAAGTTAGGGTGTTCCACTTTCAAAAACATAGCACCTGACTCCCTGTAACCCAAGAGCAATCACTTTTGCTACTCCAAAGAAAGGGCTATATCCCCAAGCTCAGCCCTTCCAAAGACCCATTTATGTGTCGTGGAAATGCTAGAAAGCTTGCTTACCTGAAGGTGAGCACAGGATTCAGAACTAGGAGAATAATTGCTGGTTTGGGTTTTTTAAGAACATATGATATTTTGAACTCCTATTTGCAAGTATACTCCACGCCACTGCAAAAGGCAGACAGTAGATTCGCCAGGATCTGAAGCAAACCCATCCCAACTCTTTCAGAGGAGACACACATATCAGCTTTTTGGCATGTATTCCTCCCTAGGAGTCTCTCAGGGAGACTGGCAGTGCTCCCTCTGGTGGCCCCAGCCAGCAACCCCTGACTGCATCCAGTTGAGGCCACTGCTGGCATTTGGCTAACCTTTCTGTAGAGGTTAATCATTGGCCTGGTGTGAAAGTTCTAATAAAATTAACCAGAATCAAGAGAGTCTCAAGCTGCCACCTGACACTCATATCTGTCCCCACCTCTCCAAAGAAGGAAGAAACAAAATGCCTTTATCTCCACAAGGAAATGAAAAGGTTCCTTACTGGGAAATTCCCCCAAGGTGTGGGGGAGGGGGAACAATCAAGATAAATAGTTCTAATGTTTTTGCTTTATGCCAATAAAGGGAGTTTCAGGGGCAGGAACTGAGCCAAGACAGCACCAGGGAAGCCTGGGAGGTCACCTACCAACAGCTTCCTTATCTTTATGGGGGCACATTAGCTCTTTTCTGTCTTAAGGGGAGCTCAGCACTTGTTAGCACAGTTTCCTCCTTTAATTCTTTTCTTCAAGTTCATGCTGAAGTTTAAAGCTTACCAAAGTCTGTGAGAATGTAGAGATTCATCTCTACTCCTTCTTCTCCTCTGGCTACAGTTTGAGCCCTAAGGACAGTTGTGGCCAGGCTGGCCCTGGGACGCTCAGTCCTGGCCACCCCTGGGTTGCTCCACAGCTCTGACAAAGTACACTGATGTGACCTCTCAGGGCTACTAGGTTTGCTGGACTCATCAGGAAGCACACCAAAGGCCATAGCACCTATGTTTTGGGATTTTTTTTTTAAGATTTATTCATTTATGCATACAGAACTGTGGTATAGGCCAGAGGTACAGAGGTGGTGAGAAGATTCACCAGAGACAGAGTGGGGAGCAGAACAGGCCAACTGATGAAGTACACTGAGAACAGCGGGCAGATCAGGAGACCTACGCCATATGGGTCACCTCTGGGGCTGGGGATCAAACTCATGCTGAAGTAGCTTTAGCTTTTTAGTGTTGTGCTTCAACCTGCTGCGCCATCAGGGAGGCTGGCACCTATGTTTTTTAACCCTGATTTCATATCCAAAACTTCGGGTTCATCACTCAATGTCTCCAGATCTTGATTTTTCTTATGGATAAACAGTTGTAATTTTTATCTGCTTTTTAAAGGAAGTTATGAAGCTCCAATGTCATCGTGTAAATAGATAACATTGCATTGATTAGCACTGGGGGCTCTATACACAAGAGGAATATGCATAAGAGATAAGCATTCTGCTGTATCTGAGACGCAACACAGTGCAGTGAGAGACGTGCCGACTATGGGATCAGGCAAAGCTGGGTTCAAGGCTTGTCCGCCTACCTCACCTATACCCACTCACCCACACACCTCATTTCTCTGTGACCTTGAGGAAAAGACTCAACCTTTTCACTTTCATTTCTTCCTATGTAAAATATGAATGAAAAACCCATTTCAAGGGGCTGCTATCAAGTTTATATAAGCTAATACACATACACTTTTTAACCCAGTGCCTAGAAAATGAAAAGACTTTGGCTATAAGCGTCATTATATTTACAATGGTAGTCTTCACAAGTCCTCCTCTCTGAGCCTTAATTAACTCATACAAACACCCCAGAAAATCTGCCAGCCCCTTTACCTCCCAGGGATGTAGCAGGTCAGCTGAAACAGACAGGGCCCCTTGCTGAAATCAATTAAATCCAGTGAGCGGTTCCTGAGATATTAAGGCTCTTTCCCAGGGCTGAGTCTCCCTGACAGGGATTCTGAAGAAATGTGTTCCTATCAAAAAGAAACTTACAGCTTAGTTGAGAAGATAAAAAAAAGTCTACTTAGAGCTACTACAAACCAAAAGGACTGTGGAGTGATGGGAGCTGTAATGGGAAGTGTGGAGCCATTTACTCATGCAAAGTTTATGTCAGTTGCTGGAAATCGAAAGCCAAACAGGAGTTACAGGAATTCTGAGGTCTGCTAGTCTTGGGAGACACCAGAACTTCATCTCTTCGTACTTCTTATCTTTCAGCACCCCATGCAAGTTGACTTAAACAGCGCAGCCCCTCGGGAGCCCCGAGTGATGTCGCTCTTCTTCCTCACCTGCCTGCTGGCTGTCTTCCCAGGTGGGTCTGCCAGGTCCCAGCTCCTTTCCTCCCCAAGGATGCTCTTTTCAAAACTTGCACTTGCTCAAGTAGACAGAGACAATGGGGAAAGGTAATGTTCTGAAGACACACTGGAAAGAGAGCAATGATTCTTCATTTCAAGGCCAAGGGTTTTTAAAAGATCTTCACTGGGAATTTTTAAAAAGACCATGTTTTTGAACCAAGCATGTTCATGAGTTGCTATAGAGTTTGGGGGGAATGACTTATCCTTCTGGTCTCACTTTTCTTCTAGAAAAAAAGAAAATCAATATAGTGTTTCTAGAAAATAACATTATATTGAGAGTGTATACCCTACAAAAGTTTTATGAACAAGGAATATCATTCAATGTTAATCACTCCATTGTCTTTCACTGTCTCACTCATGAATTATAATTTAATATTTATTAATCATTTCATACAACTGTAAAATGGGTAGCTGTAACATTTGGCAAATAACCCACAATAGTGACATGTGTAGGTGGAAAATTTCATCTCTTCAAAGCAGGCTATCTGGATCCTCTCAGCAGGCTTTCCCACCAAGGGCCTCAGAAAATGTCTTTTGTCCCCATAGTGGTCTCCATGAAGAGCCCCATATTCGGTCCCCACGAGGTAAAAAAGGTGGAAGGTAGCTCAGCACTCATCCGGTGCTTCTACCCGGCCACTTCCGTCAATCGTCATACCCGGAAGTACTGGTGCCGGCAGTTTGCTAACGGTGCCTGCGTCACCATCATCTCCTCTGACGGCTACATCTCCAAGAACTTTACTAACAGAATCAGAATCACCAACTTTCCAGAGAACAACACATTTGAGGTGAACATTGCCAACCTCAGGAGCAAAGACTCTGGGAGCTACAAGTGTGGTCTGGGCATTAATAACCGAGGGCTATCCTTTGATGTAAACTTGAAAGTCTTCCAAGGTAAGGATCCAGGCTCCTGGGGTCACTCTGAGAAAGAGTGAGAGGGAATCATCTCAGGTGCAACAAGAAGGCTTAAGGTAGAAGTTCTGGAGAGGGACGATGTCCTGGCATGGGATGGGTAGGGCTCTGGGCCTAGGGCTTGGGGAGACCAGACATGAGAATGAGATAGACAGGCCACTAGGGGGCAGCAGGTAGACTTTTCTATGTCCTGGGGCCTGTGTAATATTCTCGGGCTTCACTAAGGCCATATCCTGGTTTAAAGAGCATCAGGAAGACAATTTCTCTTATTGTGTTTGTTGCAGCTGAGTAGGAGGTTTATGAGCTGATGGAGTGAAAAAAAATAAACAGATTTATAGGGATCCCTAGATTCCTACCATTAGTTTACCTTTTAGAACAAGATCTTAAGTTACTAGAAGACTGCTTTCAAACTGCAATTTTTTTAAACATGGAGTCCGTTAGTCAATCAACACTCACAGCATTAAGAAAACTATCAGTTCTTGTTCAAAGTCCAGGGCCCTGCAGAGATGGGCCACCAGACATGTATGCTGTAATTTAGGAAAGAGAAAAATAGGAAATATCTTTTTTTTTAAAAGATTTATTTATTTGTTCATACAAAACTGGGGTACAGGCCAGAGGCTCAGGGGCGGCGAGAGGATTCACCAGCGACAGAGTGGGGAGCAGAACAGGCAGATCTACGAAGTACACTGCTGAGGGGAGCAGCGGGCGGGTCAGGAGAGGTCTGCCGCACCATGTGGTCACCTCCGGGGCAGGCAGGGCTCGAACTCATGGGGAAGTGGCTTAAGCTTCTTAGTGCTGTGCTTTAACCCTCTGTGCCACCAGGGAGGGCCCGGAAATATCTTTTTGATAAAATTCATATTCAACAACAAAGGACATTTTAGATAGCCAAGGGTAATTTAAAGAGAAAGGGGCAGGCGGGTTCCCTGCTGGCATATGGGAATAAGTCTCAGCACTATGAAGCTATTCATAGCTACTGCAGCACAAGTTTGATTCCCGCCAGGGAGGTAACCCACATGGCACAGAAGACCTCTCCTGTCTCACCCGCTGTTCCCCTCAGACAGTCTATCTGCCTGTTCTGTTCCCCACCCTGCCTCTGGTGATTCCTCTCACCTCCCCACACCTCTGGCCTACACCCCAGCTCTTGTATGTATAAATAAATCTTAAAAATAAATAAATAGGTCCTCCCTGGTGGCACAAAAGATTAGACAGCACTGCAAACTAGCTATAGCAGCTTCAGTGTGAGTTGGATCCCCGGCCCCAGAGGTGACCCACATGGTGCAGCAGACCTCTCCTGACCTACCTGCTGCTCCCCTCAGCAGTGTACTTCATCAATCTGCCTGTCCTGCTCCCCACTCTGTCTCTGGTGAAGCCTCTCATCACCCCTGCACCTCTGGCTTGTACCCCAGTTCTGTATACATAAATAAATAAATCTTTAGATAGCCAGACAGATAAATAGGTAGATAAAAGGAGCATTTGGAGTAGAGATTTAGAGAGTGTCCCTAACATATGTTGTGTTCTTTTGGAATGTGCCTACTGTTAGCCGTGGGCTGAATAAAGAGTTTATTCAGGTGGTGACAAAGTCACAAAATTGCAGAATATTAAGATCCTGAGAGAGCTAGGGCTTACCCTACATAGGATACCCAGAGGCACCCAGGGGATAACTGTTACACAGCCTCTGTTTAAACACTTTAAAAGGTAGAAACTCACTACTTGGCATGGCAGCTCATTCCCTATTCGGACTGTCATAAAGTTTAGAAACTTCTTCTGTATTACACTGAAATCTACCTCCCTGCACTTACATTCATTGTAAGCACCCATCAGATATAGGCATTGTACCAGGCACTGCAGGGAAGTCAAATCCAAGGAAAACCCTCAAGGGACTTGGGGAGTCTGGGGAAGCATAATTACCTACCTACAAGACAGGTGATTGTGACTGATCTAGGTGTTAAGTGTTAAGAGAGCACAGAAGAGAGAAAAATGAGTGCCAGCTTAGAGAGGGCATGAGAACGCAATAAAATAGGGTCTTGGGAGCCATATTCTGACTGTATTCCTCAGGAGAGGATGGTATTCCAGGGGATGGGCACCCCCCCACCATGGAAACACTAAACTGTCCTGTGTGCCATCCCTTATCCTGCAGGCCAGGAGATGTCAGGTAACACCAAAATCTACACAGCAGTCCCTGGCACAACACTGACCATTGACTGCCCCTTCAAGCCTGAGGATGTTAATAAGCTGAAGAACGTGTTCTGGAAACCAAACAGTGAAATCCAATACTCTTTGATAGCCAACTCCAATGGCTATCTGGATTCTTCACATTTTAAAGACAGACTAGAATTTAAGCCTTTTAGCGGTACCAGTGAATCAAAGTTCATTTTAATCATCAAACACCTCCAGCCCACCGATGCTGGGAGTTTTATGTGCTCCGTAGATAATAATCCCAATCCCCAAAAAGAGAAAGAAATTAGGCTCCAAATACTGACGCCTGGACCGGAGCTCGTTTATGCAGACCTGAGGAGCTCAGTGAGGTTTGACTGTGCCCTGGGCTCCAATATGGAAGACACGGCCATATTTCTGTGCCGAATGAATAATAACAGCTGCAATGTGAAGAACTACAAAGTGGTCATCAACACCGTAGGAGATATAATGCCGACCTTTGAGGGAAGGGTCCGGCTTGCTCCCAAGAGTGACGGCTCCTTCAGCGTGCTGATCGTTGGCCTGCAGAAGGAGGACGCAGGGCACTATGTGTGTGGCACCCACAGATCCGGTCAGCTTCAGGAAGACGCACCCATTCAGGCTTGGCATCTCTTTGTCAAGGAAGGTGAGCCCTGAGGGGAAAGGATGGAACTGTCTGTGAACCTATTCAGTGCTCATTGATAGTCCTCAAGGAGCCAACAGTAGCTACTCACTGGCAAACTGTGACCTAGATGCTGTGTGGGCAGCTACACAGGAGAATTAGGAAAAACAGCTGCTGCTTTATGTTAGCTCTTAAGTCTTCGGTTTTATTAAAGGTCTTGTATTAGTTACCTCTGCTTAATAGGGATGAGGAGAGTGAGATTCCTGACTGAGGCAAGTTCATAGATGGTCTGGGTTTCAGAGCGCCACAGTGGAGCTGCCTGGGATGGACTGGCCCTAATCCTTGAGCAGAATGGCACCTCATTGCTCATATTCTAATGGGAGACAAACTGGGTAATCTTAGTCTCAAGGTTTTCTCAGGAAGTAATGCACGTGCCTCTAAATTTTCTATTCCAAATCCTTAGAGTCACTGGTTATTTAGCCTCACCTAGACTACTTGGCTGTGCCTGGGGTCACCCACATGGTGGCTCCTTTGCACATGGGAGCACATATCCTTCCCTCACACGTGCCCTCCAAGCACTGCCTTTCCTGGGCATCACTTATGTGTCCAGCAGTGAGTCCTCACCGCTCCCCTCAGTGTCTGGTGGGATGGCGCTCAACTTTAACATATAGGAGAATGGCCTTCCTCTGAGATGCCCTCAGAGCCCACCAGTTACACTTACCTGTTTTACATAGTTTGTATTTTATCTCATGCCATTTAAAATATATTTTCTCAGTTTAGAGGCAATCCATCTGCAGGTTTTGGTGGTATAAGGTAATAAACAGACAAAAACTTAAGAGGAAGATTTGTAAGAAACCAAAGTAAGTAGTCTGTCCTTAAATCCCACCCATTCTCTGCTCAGAATAGAGGGGAAAGGAAGTGTGAAGCCCAGACCAGTGCTGAGGTCACTGGTATTGTGTGACTCCAACCACAGGTGCTGACATCAGCTTCCTTTTCATTTTGTGAGGAGGGTGAGATGATTAAACTGTACTCCCTACTCTGGCTCAGGCTCTGGAGAAAAGGTTGCTAAGATTATGTTACTGTTCTTCCATCCCATCTCTGCTTCCAGAGACCTCAATTCCCCCGAGCCCCTCTGTGATCACAGGAGTGAAAGGAGGCTCTGTGGCTGTGCGCTGCCCCTACAACCCCAAGGAAAGAGACAGCGACAAGTACTGGTGCCGCTGGAAGAAAAGTCAAAGTGGCGACTGCCCTCTGCTGGTGCACAGCGAGGGCGTGGTCCAGGCACAGCTTGAAAACTACAAGGGGAGGCTCGCACTGCATGAGGAGCCAGGCAATGGCACCTTCACCGTCATACTCAACCAGCTCACCGCCAAGGATGCTGGTTTCTATTGGTGTCTCACCAGTGGTGATGATCACTGGACAACAGTGATGAAGCTTGAAATTGTTGACGGTAAGAGTTGACCTGGGCAAAAGGAAGGGAGGACCCCTCAGGCACCAGTAGCTTCACCCCCCACCTGCCTTTCCTCCTTTCTCACCCACCTTCGTGCTGATGGAATGTACCTCAGATCTCAGGAGCAAAGCCACCAGTTGAGATTGCATTTCATCCTTTTAACAAGCACTGTTCCCTACATACACCCATTTTTCAAGCCACCACAGGGAGCACCTCCTTCTACAGTGTTCCAGCAATGTAGCTGAGTAGAAGGAAGCTCTTTGCTTGAGCCTAAAGAGAAACTCAGTGAGCAGGCTGAAGGCAAGGTGTAGCTCCTGGTGTTCTCAGTAACAGTTCCTACCTAAGCACAGAGTTACATTTCTTAAGTGTTTAGTATAATGTTTTCTTTTTTATCAAATTTACTTATGTATATGTTTTACATCATAGCTCGTTTGTAGAGGTGTGGACCCCATAGAATTTCCTCCCCCACTTCACCCCTGCACCATCACCAGTCCCCTGTGCTCCTCCCTCCCGCCTACCTACCCCTTTTCTCCCCCTCCCTGCAGGATGTCTCTAGTTAATAATTGTCTGTCTGTTTTTGTTTTATTTTGTTGTGTTTGTATGATTATTTTTTCCTCTGTCTTATTTGGCTCTCCTACATTCCTCCTATAAATGAAACACTCGATATTTTTCTTTTTCCTTCTGACTTGCTTCGCAGAGCATAATCCCTTCCAGCTCCATCTATGTTGCTGCGAATGGCATGAGTTTGTCTTTTTGATTGCTGGGTAGTATTCCATTTTATATATACCACATCTTCTTGATGCAGTCATCTGTTTTGGGGCATTTGCATTTACAAAGTTTCAACCCACAGCCATTTCCCTGCATCATCACCAGTGCCAACTCTATGCCCATTTCTCCCTTTACCCAACTGCAGGAAAACCAAAGCTTCAAGTGCCCAAGGATGTCATTGCAAGGGAGGAAGAAGCTCTCGAGCTCCCCTGCAATGTATCATGCCAATTCTACTCCTCCGAGAAATACTGGTGCAAATGGACGGACAGAGGTTGCAAGGCCCTGCCCAGCCAAGATAAAGGCCCTAACCAGCCCTCTGTGTACTACAACCAGAAGAAGCAGCTCATAAACCTGGTCCTGAATCCAGTCACTGAGAAGGATGAGGGCTGGTACTGGTGCGGGGTGAAGGATGGCCCCCAATACAAAGACACCGCAGCTGTCCACGTAACTGTCAATAAGGGTAAGGATGAGTATCCAAGGGTGAGACCTGTACCCACTATGCCTAAGAGGAAGGCTCCTACCCAACAGTCCATCAGGAGTGGCCCCTACATTTGGCTATAGAGACTCAGGACAAGGGGAAATGATCACCTACATAGTTCTCATTGAACCCTCAAAAGGGCATCTGAAATAGCTATAAACTCAGAGAAAATCATAGCTTTGCTGTTTAACCTCAATTTTAAGACAAAATGCCCCCTTCAGGCCTTTTTGAATCCCTTTTTAGATAAGGCTCAAAGTCACTGTCATATGGAATACCCTGTCAAATGCAATATGCCAAAGCCTGTCTCAAATAGAGGCCAGATTTCTTCATTTACAGCTCAGCTGCAACCTCTTCTTGCAAGTTTTAGTGTAAGCCCTTTTTGCAATTTCACATGAAATATCTTGTCCCAAATGAGAGTACTTTTCCTATCGGCACCCCATATACCCCTAACCAGTGCTCCTCCTCCCCTCTCTTAACCTCAGGCCGCATGTCCTTTATTAATGCCCACTAGTATTTTGCTTTGTCAAAACACCCATTAGATAAACATATCTACATACAGTGGTTGACACTGTCATTCTGACTTGCTTTACTAATAGTTACCTCAGACTCCTCCCATTTTGCTGTAAATGGCACCATTTCATCTTTCGTGATGTGTAAAGCATTCATTTGTTTGACTGTTATATTGCTATCCTACATGGGGTTTTTAACTTTTGCTCTTTTTTTACTAATGAAGCACCATTGTTTTACATCTTTGCAAATATTTTGATCAGGTAGGATCTCTCCCCTGAAGTGTTGCCATCATAGCTTTCCCCAATAAGCACCCACAGGACTCCACCATGGCTCACTATTCCCTTCTCCCCTCCCCCATTCTCCTCCCACCCTCTTCTTTTTCCCTCTTGGGTGCCTCAGATTGATGATCAGTTTTAAGAACTGGTTCTAGAGTCTTTCTTCTTTTGATCCTTTGTTTGATGTCTCTATATTCCACATGTGAGTGTCACCATCCATCTTTTGTGATTACTGAGTGGTGTTTCACTCATCTGTTATTGTGGCATCTAGGTTATTTCCCTGTCTTGGATAGTGTAAAAAGTGCTGCAGTAAACATAGGAGTATGGGTCTCCTTTCAAGTCAGTGTTTTTGGAACCACATCTTCTTGATCCTGTCTTCTACCTATGGGCACTGAGGCATTTCCCATGTCTTAGCTATTATATACTCCTGCAATAAATGTTGTAGAGGATATCATTTTTTTTTTAGTTGGTGGTGCTATTCTTTGGAGACATGCTCCAGCTGGGCTGAGCTGGGCTGAGCACTATTTCCATTTTCAGCTTTTTAAGGTAGATCCAGACAGTTTTCCATTCCCAACAGTGTAACAGTGTCCTCTTTCTCCATGTCTTTTTATTTCCTCTTGCTTTTTGTTTAGAACTTGATGTTGGGGTGCTTTTTCATATGCGCCATTCTCACAGGTATGAGGTTTCGACCTGCTTCTCCATTATTAAAATACTGATGAATATTTTCTACGGACCTATTGATCTTTTGGAGATTCTCATGGTGAATCATCTGTTCAGACTCCTACCCATTTGTCAGTTGGGTAGTTAGTTGTTTTTATTTTTGCTAAGTTGAGTAAGTTTTTGTGTATCTTGGATATTAATTTCTTGTCGATTGTGATATTTTCTTCTATTCAGCAGAATGCCATTTAACCTACTGATACTTTCTTTCACTGGGTAGGAGCTTTTTTAAATTGAGCTAACTCCAATTGTTTACTTTTCATTTTATTTCCCTTGCCAAAGGGTTTGAGTGTTCAAAAATATCTTAGTCATTGATGTCATAAAACACATTACAAATATTTTCTTCTATATATTTTATTGTTGCTGTTTTTATATGTCTTGAATCCATTTAGAATTCATTTTGTGCATGGCTAGAGTTTTCTGACCAATGGACTGTCCCATTTTCCTAGCACCCTTTGTTAAAGGGACTCCTTTCCCTATCATGTTTAAGGCTCCTTTATCATGAGTTAAATATTCATATATACATGGATTTATTTCTGGGTTTTCAATTCTGTCCCATTGATCCATGTGTCTCTTTTTACTCCATTAGCGTATTATTTTTATGATTGTTGTTTTATAGTATGAAGCTAGGTAGTATGGTTTCTTTCCTTTACTCTCAGAATTGTTTTTGCTAATTAAGGTCTTTTATTTTGCCACATAAAGTTTAATATTTTTGCTCAATCTCTTTGAAGATTATTTTTGGTATTTTAATGGTGATCACATTAAATTTATAGGTTGCATTTTGGCTACACAGATTCTCCCATTCAATCGTGGAATGTATTTCCATCTTGTCAGAGCCTATTAATAGAATCTTGTATTCTTCATCATATAAGGAAGTCCCTTAACTATTTGGTTAGTTTAACACCTAGATCTTTAATACTATTTGAAGTGATTATGAATGGCATTGTTTTCCTAATCTCTTTTTCTAGTTGTTCATTGTTTGCATATAAAAATGCCATAGACTTTTGAATTTTACTTTTGTAACCTGTCACTACAGTATTCATTTATTGTTCCTGGTAAGATTTTGGTGGACTCTTTAGGGTTTTCTATGTGTGGTGATATATCATCTACAAATAATAATAGTAATAATAATAGTTTCACTTATTTATTTCCATTCCTTTTATTTTATTTCCTGTTGCTAATTGCTTAGTTCTAGGTAAAACCTCTAATTCTAAATTATACAAAGGTGGAGACAATGGACATCTTTATCTTGCTTCTAGTCTTTTTTTTTTTTTAAAGATTTATTTATTTATGCACACAGAGTTAAAGTATAGGCCAGAGATGCAGGGACAGTGAGAGGATTCACAAGAGACAGCGGGGAGCAGAACAGGCAGATTCAGAAGTATACTGCTTAGGGGAGCAGCGGGTGAGACAGGAGAGTTCCATTGCACAAATGGGTCACCTCACTGGCCAGGGATCAAACTCATGCTGCTAGCTTCCTAGTGCTGTGCTTTAAACCCACTGTGCCACCAGAGAGGTCCTCCTTCTAGTCTTAAAGTGAAAACTTTCTACTTTTCACCCTGCAGCATTATTCTGGCTATAAGTTTGTGATATATGACCTTTACTAGGGAGAGATATTTTCCTTTTTTCCCTGTTTGTTTTGTGGGTTTGATCGTAATTGGTGCTGAATCTTATCAAATGCTTTCTCTGCATCCATTATTATCATATTATCTTTATCTTTTTATTTCATTGATGTTATGATTAATCAATTTACAAATATGAAATCATCACTGCATCCCTGAAATAATTATCACGTAATCATGGTATATAATCCTGGCAATCAATAATTTGGCTTGTTAGCATTCTGTTGAAGATTTTCACATCAATATTCATCAGGGACATTGGTCTGTAGTTTTCTTGTGCTGCCTTTGTCTGGTTTTGGTAATAGGGTAGTATTGGCATCATTCCTTATGGGAATTTTAGAAATAATTTGAACAAGATGGGGATAAATTTTCATTAAAGATTTCATAGAATGCACTTGTAAAGCCCTGGGGTTTTGTTGTTGGTAGGGAGACTTCATTACCGTCTCAATTTCCATGCTTGTGATCAGTTTTCCACTACACTTTAGTCGTGGTAAACTATGTTGTTCTAGAAATTTGTTGATTTCTTCAGGTTATCAAATTTATTGCCTTATAGTGATTTGATCATAGTAATCTCTTGTGATCCTTTTTATTTCTAGTCCATCTGTGGTAATTTTTCCTCTTTCATTTCTAATTCTGTTTATTAATGATTTTCCTCCTCTTTTCTTTATTAGCCTACCTAGATGTTTATCAGTTTTATTTATCTTCTTGTAGAACCAACTTTTATCAATCTTTGGATTTCTACTTCACTTACCTCTGCTCTTATTTTCATTATGTCCTTCCTTCTAATGACTTTTGGACTTGTTTATTCTTTTTCAAGTTGCTTAATATAAAGTTGTTTACTTTGGAATTTTCAATGTTCTGTACTGTAACTGTCACCCATCTTAAAAATTAGTTTTGCTGCATCCTGTCAATTCTAATAATTTATACCCTCATTTTCATTAGTTTTGAGGTTTTTTTCTTAATTTCTGCTTTAATATTCTGTTTTATCTAATAGCTGTCAAGGAGCATGTTCCTTAGCTTCCTTTTTCTTTTTTATTTTTTTAAGTTTATTTCTACCTTTATGACATTACTGTCAGAGTATTTGATATGATTTCAATCTCAGTAGTTTTTTGACGGTTGATTTGTGGTCCAACATATAGTCTATTCTAGAAACTTTTCCACATGCACTTGAAAAAATACATGTGCAGGGCCCTCCCTGATGGCATGGCGGGTTAAAGTGCAGCACTATGAAGCTAGCCACAGCAGCTTCAGCACAAGTTTGGTCCCCAGCCAGGGAGGTGATCCATGTGGTGCAGCAGACCTCTCTTGACCTGCCCCCTGCTCCCCTCAGCAGTGTACTTCATCTATCAGCCTGTTCTGCACCCCACTCTGTCTTTAGTGAATCCTCTCACTGCCCCTGCACCTCTGGCCTATACCCTAGTTCTGTATGCATAAGTAAATAAATATTAAAAAAAAGATATATATGCAGTGGTTTGGGAATAGAATGTTCAGTAGGTTTCTGTTAAACATGTATGATATAGCTGTTCATTGGAGACTTTTTATTTTCTTATTCTGTCTTGTTGACCTGTGCATAGTTGTAAACTGAAAGTTGAAATTTCCTAGTATTAATTTGTTAGTGCCAATATTTCACTTCAATTCTATCAATAATCTGCTGGTACTTTAAAGGTACTCTAATATTTGGTGTATATATGGTGTTTCTTGTTGTACTAGGACCTTCATCATCATGAAATGCCCATCTCTATCATTTATTTTAACTGGATATCTATATTATACAATGTAAGGATAGTTGTTCCTAACTTTTTTAGGTTAGCATTTGCTTCAACATGCTTTAACTATCATCTGTGACTTGTCTTTGTTGGAGATGGGTTTCCTGTAAACAGCAGAAAGTTGAACTTTGAAATCCACTTAGTCACTCTGTAAGTTCTTTTTTTTTTGTAAGATCTATTTATTTATGCATACAGAACTGGGGTACAGGCCAGAGGTGCAGGGGCAGTGAGAGGATTCACCAGAGACAGAGTGGG